CCTAGAGACTGTCATACAGAGTGAAGTAAGTCAGAAAGAGAAAAACAAATACCATATGCTAACACATATATATGGAATCTAAAAAAAAAAAGGTCAGAAGAACCTAGGGGCAAGACGGGAATAAAGATGCAGACCTACTAGAGAATGGACTTGAGGATATGGGGAGGGGGAAGGGTAAGCTGGGACAAAGTGAGAGAGTGGCATGGACATATATACAGTACCAAACGTAAAGTAGATAGCTAGTGGGAAGCAGCCGCATAGCACAGGGAGATCAGCTAGGTGGTTTGTGACCACCTAGAGGGGTGGGATAGGGAGGGTGGGAGGGAGGGAGATGCAAGAGGGAAGAGATATGGGAACATATGTATATGTATCACTGATTCACTTTGTTATAAAGCAGAAACTAACACACCACTGTAAAGCAATTATACTGCAATAAAGATGTTTAAAAAAAAAAAAAAAGAATGTGGCCTTAACCTATTTAAGTTGGCTAAGAAGGTAGTTCGGAGGGATATCTTTAGCTTTTCATAATCTCCAACAGTCATTGTCTCCAAGATCATTCCAAACAAGAATTAATAAAGAGAAAAAAATTCTTAAGAGGATGTGGCTTTACTCTCAAGTTTTGAACAATATATAGTCACTGTCTTCAGCAATATAATTCTTGTCTTTCAAAAGATAATGGAAGTCATTAAATACGGATATAAAGATACAGACATAAGTACTGATATAGGTACAGCCATATAGCAGATGCTAAGTTTTTAAATTCATAAACATATGTATTTTAATAGAAGTATCATAATATCAAAAAAAGGTAGAGAAGGACTTTATCTTCATCTGCACTCTCACAGGTGCATTAATTAGAAATCAAGCTGGGGAACTATAATAGTGCAGAATACCATCTGTTTAAAACTCTAGACTGTGACTGGGAAATTTACAGTTTTAAATGGAATAGCTGTTAATTCTTTTGCTTTAGAGGAAAATTCAAATTAGTCATTTGCATTTACACACCCATTTGAAAAGTGCAAGAATTAAACTTTTTCTCTTCTTAATTTCCCAGGCGTGAGTTTTGAAATCAGAGCAACAAATATGATGACAAATTATAGCAAAAAAATTTTGTTTCTAGCTTATCAGAAAAATTAATAGCAGTTAAGGTTAATACACCCTGCTTGTCCCATGAGATTTCTTCCTAATGAGTTTCCTAACACTCAACATTGGGAAACGTAAACTAAAAACTACCCACTAGAAACTCTTTACGTCACTAGTTTCTTAGAGTCCCTCTCATTCTAGGGCACAGGTGAACAATACAACTCTATGTATTCTGCATTTTTGCTTTGTTTTGATTTTTAGTATTTATGACCTCAACACTGGAAAAAAAATAATTATATGAGTATCCCTTAAGCCCTCTCTTTCTTACTTTCAATTCCAACTATGACATAAAGGTAAATGGATTGCCCAGGGCCTCCATTCAATCCTTCCCTCCCTTTCTCCTTGATCCTAATCTTTCTCGTCCCTTCCAAGAAGGAGATTCACTGAGGGGGATTCTACCATCTCCCTTGAAACTTCTGGAATAAAATAAGGAATTCAAATTGTTTAAACGTTCTCCCACATGTAGTTTAAAAATTCCACGTTGTACGTCCTTTGAAAACGCTTTCTTAATGTTTAATATGCTGAATTAAAGATATAAGGAGTATGAGTTTGGAATCAGATGTGGATTTGCATCCAGCTCCTCTACTTTTTCACCGTGTGACTCTGGAGAGTTACTTGTGCTCGCTGGCAGGTTTCTCTTCTACACGACAACCGTGTCTTACTGACTTAACTGTGTCTCCTCTGTATCGTGGGGGCTGCCTAACTGTCCCCGAGAGGGCTGTGCTGCTCTGACGAGTAGCACTAACTGAAGTCATTATGACCTGAAAGGCTATCGAGATTTTAGAGGCACTGCTATGCCACATGTCCCTAAACTCAGTGCAGTTCTAGTTAATGTGTTTCCTTCTCTTTTCTCATGACCGTCTCTGCCTCTGTTCACAGAGGCCCACTTCTTCCTACTCTCTATCTCTGCTAAACTACAACTCGGACATTTTAATGGCGTGGTAGATCTTTGATCTACATCTGACTGTAGCACCTTTAAGAGTGCTGGCAATTCTGAATTAGCCACTAACCTCTTTTTCCGCTTCCTCTCCTCTCCCCGGGACCTATCTGAACTCACCCTTTTACGTCCAGTTAACACCTATAAGCAGTTGCCACCTTATTCTATTTTTCATATTCTCTCCCCACCCTACCCAATTTTTAAATAATTGTACTATGTCTACACTGTCAGAACATATCACATTGCCATTACTGTCTTTCCCATCCTTTAGAATTAGATCCAAGGTAAATATACACATAATGCTCACCATCAGCCCTTTTATCAATGTCTTTACAGTCATACTGGTGTCTAAAGCTTGTTCTTTAATAGATTCCTCAAGAAGAAATATTCCCTGGATTTTTTGATTGCTTGTTTGTTCGTTGGTGGTCTTATTTCTTTGTTTTATTTTGTTTTGCTTTTGCCTGTCATCTTTATAATTGAAAGTCAGCTTGGCTGGATATAAAATCCTTGGCTCACATTTTCTTTATTTGATTGCTTTAAATATCATTGTCTTCTGACAGGGTGTTGCTGTTGAAAAGTTTGATGGTAAAAGTTTCCTTATAAATGACTCCTTATCTACTATAAAATAGATGGCTAATAGGGACCTACTGTGTAGCACAGGGAACTCTGCTCAGTGCTCCGTAGTAGCCTATATGAGAGGAGAGTCTGGAAAAGAGTGGATATATGCATGTGTATGGCTGATTCACTTTGCTGTGCACCTGGAACTAACACAACATTGTGAATCAACTATATACTCCAGTAAAAATTAGTTTAAAAAAATAAATGACTCATTGTCTATTTTATTTTTCTTAGATGCTCAAAGAATTTTTTTTTAAAGACACCAATTGTACTTGAACATTTGTTACTTTTTTTTAAAAAATTAATTTATTTATTTTTGGCTGTGTTGGGTCTTCGTTTCTGTGCAAGGACTTTCTCTAGTTGTGGCAAGCGGGGGCCACTCTTCATCGCGGTGTGTGGGCCTCTCACTATCGCGGCCTCTCTTGTTGCGGAGTACAGGCTCCAGACGCGCAGGCTCAGTAGTTGTAGCTCAGGGGCCCAGTTGCTCCGCGGCATGTGGGATCTTCCCAGACCAGGGCTCGAACCCGTGTCCCCTGCATTAGCAGGCAGATTCTCGACCACTGCGCCACCAGGGAAGCCCTCAAAGAATATTTTTAAAGTCATCCTGGGTCAACTTTCCCAGATGCATGGTAGCCCATTTAAAAATGTATACTTTTTATTTTAACTTTTCCTGATTTATCATTTTTAGCATTTCTTCTGTTCCATTGTTTTAGCTTTCTTCCTGAAAGATACATATTATATGTCTCTTGGATCGTCTTTACCTCTCTTCTATATCTATTATTTTCTCTTAATTGTTTCTTCATTTCTTCTGATTTTTAAGAATTTGCTGTTTTCCAACTTGTATTTCTATTAAGGCATTCTCTTTTCTTATTCACTCTTGTGTTGCTTGTAGTGTAGTCTTTTCTTCTGAAATATTTTAATCTTTTACTTCTAAATTCTTTCCTGAATTCTACCATATCTCTTTTCAAATCATTCTGTTCTCCGAACACCTCATGTCTAAGTTTTTCAAACTGTGATTTATGTTGCTCTTTATAATGTCCATGATTTTGTTAATTTCAAAATTATGTTAATTTTAAGCCCATTTTTGGAACATTAGGCTATAGGTTTCACCTGTTTTGTGGGCATGTCTTTCTGGCACGCATCCACTGTCCACAGGAAGTCAGTCTGATCTTAATTATTTTTTTCATGAGACTGTACGGGATTCAACTGTTTTTCTTTTCTGCTGGTCATTTCTAAGTGAAATGAGAGAACTAGGATAATTCTTTTAGCTTCATGGCTCTCATGCTCCTGCTTCAGTTGTGTTCACAAAGTGATAAAAGAAAATAGTCCTGTATTTCCTGAGATCTGCCTACTCTGTATCTTTTCCCCTCTTCCTTTTTATTTGGAACTTCTCTTTCCTTTGAACCTTTGTTTTTGTTTTTGTTCAAGTCAACTTGGATTCTACTCCCAGCAGCCTCTTCTCAGAGCAGGATTTTATCCTACCAGGGAGCTTCAATTTATAACTTTCCGGAGTTTATAGAGCCCAGAACACTTCAATGTTCTGTCCCCTTGCACCCACCAGTAAATTGAAGTCTGTACAATCCATCCCCTCCCACCCTAGTTTCACATACTGTCCTCTGATGGCCCACTTCTCTCTCTGGTACCATGGGCCACTTTGGTAGGTTCCCTGTTCTTTGGTCATCAAGCGGGCCCACTACTCTCTCTCACGATGCCGACATCACACAGGCCTTGAAATTGTTGATGCTTGGTCCCATTCACATTTGGGATTTTGTAAGGGTCTCTTGTCACATAATCACGGGATTTTAATCTTTGCCATTTTAATTGCTCTGTCTTTTATGAGGGGTTTCAAAAAGATTCAAAAACGACATCTTCTGCTGAAGCATGTTTGCTAATGAACTTATTTTAGAGGTGCCATTTCCATCCAAAAGGCTCTAGCTGAGACCCCAATTAACCCATAAATTAATAGCGGTTACATCGATATGTTCTGGGACAGGATCTGTATATCCACTAAAAACAATCTATTATTTCAGTTATCTAACTGAATCAGACTCATAGCACGGTGCAATGTCAATCAGTCATTAAATTAGTGGTAGAATGATTGACTGAAAAGAAAAAATACAGTTGATTGATGACTCCCTAGATATCTAATAGGAACTGAGAATGAAAGATTACCACTCCCACTGTGATTAGTAAGTGATTATTTTGACACCACTAGACAAGAGAAGGTGACAAGGGGGAAATGTCATTAAAGCAATATCTAATAACAAAAATACCTTTATGACAAACTGTCATCTTTACTCACTTTGTCGCAGAAGACCTTGATCTGGCAATAAGCTCTATGAATGGGTTTATTGCTACGATTATTATAACTGTAGGTATCAATCTGAATCATCAAAGGAAGTCCTTTCACTCCTTTTTGGGAGGAGAAATCTGTACTGAGGCAATTCACAGTGATGAAAATCTGAGGGAGGAAGAAAGAAAGGAACAAGTTCACAAGTCACCATAAAAAAGATCTATTTAAAAAAAATGCATAACGCTTAGACTTAAAGTCAAAATATTAAATAAACCTATAAGGACAACTGAAGAATATCTGGATATTCTCACATAAAAACTTATTAAACACATATAACATGATTTCTTATATAATTTATAGTTATAAATTTATAAAAATTTTTCTTTTATACTTAGTCTCGAAACAGACAATTTAAATTACTTCTCTTTAACTATATTAGCAAAGTCTCACTTATTTTTCAAACATGCGTAAGTTAGCTGGGTAAAATGCTGTCTCCTCAATGTATTAAAGCTGTCCCTTCTAATAATTATATCAATTTCTCTAATCTCTGACTGTGAGATTAAAAAAAAAAAGAAAGCTACACAGCACCTTCCTTTGCACCTTATTGCACTGAAACATAGTTATTTGTTTACACATCTGTCTTTCCTGTTTGTATGACAGTATGAGACTTGAGAGAATTTCTTATTATTTTTGTATTACTGGTACTTAATGTAATGCCTGGCAGAGAATAAGCATTCAGTACACATCTGATGAATGAGGTCAACGAGTTTATCTAGAAAGCCCACTAGATTGGGAGTCAAAAGCCCCAGGTTTTAGTCCCAACTCTAACGTTAAGCGGACCTCAGGCAAGTCACTTCTTGTCTTTGGTTTTCAATTTTCCCTTTAAATCATCTTTAAATCCCTCCCTGAAGAACAGAATATAAATACTAAGACACTTTCATGTTAGTGAAAAAGTAAAAGCAGGGCTGGCAGAGGTAAGACACGGAACAGGAGGAAGGACAGGTAGTAAAGTCACCAGCGTCCTCATCTTACATCATGAGATAGCAAGAAAGACAACAAAAATGACATGAATCCGAAAAAATGGAAACTCAAGCAAATAATTAAAGGTTATAGCACTGCCCAACAGAACTAAAAATAATAATTTTATTACGAAATACTGGCAGGAATAGAAGGAGAAGTACAAACGACTAAATTTATCCTCCTTTTCTATAGTGTGTAGATGTCAATATATACCATTTAAAGTTGATTTATCACGGACTAGGGATATGAGGACAGCACCCAGACTTATGCGGTAACTACATGAATAGTAAGAGGCAGTCTCTGGGAAAAAACAGGCATACTATATTATATCCTTGATAGTATTTCCATTTAATACCATATGTATTACTTCTATTTAACAGAAAACTTTAAACTCACTGTTTTAAAACTCTACAGTTATTTATCCTGAAAACCATTTCATTGGATGTATTATCTGACTCTTGTTTTACTTCATCCCCTTGGAATTTTTATTCACCTTCAAACCCTTGACCTGAAGCCTTTCGTATCACAGCAACACCCCAGAGAAGAACCCTGCAGAAAGCAAAGAGCCACTGCCATGAGCTGCATTTTAAAGGCCATTCAAACTTCTGACCTAATTCATTTTAAGTCCTATGCCTGTAGACCTTTGGTAATTTATACAACCAGATCTCTCATTTTTAGTGCTATATCTATATAAAGGTCATTTTAATCATTTAATTTTTGAGCCCCTTACTTGGAGATGAGAAACACATTAGCAAGGCACCACATCAATAGCAGTCAAGGCCAGATACAGGTTTCAGCGACATGCTAATCACAACAACTATGGACACCATGCCACAGGACCTCACTTCTCCAGCTGCATCTGAAAATGAGTGCCTAAAGATGATCTAACATCGAATACGGTCATTTTATTCATTCATTTCTTTAATCATTCCTTCCATAAATATCAACACAAGTCCACAGTAGGTCAAACAATTAGAAACTGGGGATACAGAAGAAAGTAGATCCCAGCCTCGTGAAGCTGACAGTCCAAGGGGAAGGCCAATGAGTAATCCAGCAATGACCAACACAGGGTGGTCAGGGCTCCCCTGAGAGAGATGAGTACAGAGGCCATGAGAACACAGAACAGAGCACTGAACTTGGAGGACACAAGTGAAATACAAAACCCACAGAGACACTGGGCTAAGACCAGGGATTCCATAAATATCTGTTTATTATTTAGGAATGGTAAAGACAAAGAGTAACTACAGACGCAAATGTCAAATGATTTAGGAGAGCTGAGTGATGAAGACCGCTCAGAAAGAATACGCCATGTTTCTTATGCCTGTTTCTCCTACCGAACTTCCAGGGTAAAAGTCGACAGAAAATGCTGTCTACTGCTCCTGCAGATGCCCCAACTGCAGAGAACATTCATTCATGCCACAGATATTTTTAAGTATCTACCACGTCCCTGAGACTGTGCTAGTTACTAGCACAGATGCACCAATTATGGTCCCTGCAATCACAGAAGTTGGAGGCTAGATGGGAAAGAAAGACAACACGATGGTGCTCTAAAGATTACAAGAGCTTCATTAAACCCCGATCATTAGGTCAAAAAATAAAAGCATACTTTTCTGGGAACACTTGACTTCTTTTATTTTTATTGTCATTATTGACAATTGGGTTATCTTGGCCAGAAGCTATAAATAAATACAGCTTTATGTCAGCAAATCAAATGATCACTCTGGGATCAAATGACGTGGTTGTCCCTACCTAGGGCTACGTATTTCATGTAGAAATCTTCCAACATGTTGGTGATTGTAATCCACAGGGTCCTCAACCAGACTAGTTTTTTTTCCTCACCCTCATAAAGCCTGCCTAGTCCTGCAGAAGCCAGAAGAGAAAAGTGTTCTGTATTTCCTAAGCTAATAGGATTCATGGTTGGGCTTACTGATACATCCATACGTCACTCACAGTGAACATACACTCAGACAGGCAGGAAGCAATATTAATTGTGGCCTTGTCAGCTCCAAGTCTCAATTAAGAAAGCTTAGCTGATGGAACATGTGTTTTTATAAGGGTCACTTGAGCAGGACAGATCCACTGAAATAACAGAGGCTTACTGGCAATATCCTACAATACATACACGAAATCCTCCTTGGAGGAGCTGTAACGATCAGCCATCCAGTAGACAAGGTCTACACACTGGACTCTACCACTAGGAGACACTTAGACTTAGGTCCTCGTAATGGAGAAAGGCCCTTAGAAGAAGATCCAGTGGGCCTTCTTTGCTTCATGGCATCCTAATTCCATAAAAAGTAAACAACACGAGAATCTGCCTTCTCTGCTACACTGTGTTGCCAAGCTCCCAGAGTTACCCTAACGAGCAGGGATTTTATAATAGGGTTGGCACTGCTTTCTTCTTGCCTGGCTGTCTGACCCAATAGCAAAGCACAGTCTATGTGCCTGATGGTATCAATCACAGTCTCGCTGTGCTGCACTTAAAACCTGAATGGTTGAACTTTAACTGCAATTGCGGGGGTTGGGAAGGCATGGAAGGACATTAACTAAAACCTCGGGTTGGGACTGATAAGCATTCATTTGTTTCATCTTGCAAACCCAACCATGTCTGGGCTCTATACCCAGCAGGCAAATGTGAAAACAAATTTCTTGGAAGTTTATCTACAAAGCACTGTTTGTAAATGTGTATTACAGAAACTTAGGGAAAAGGTATGCTTTCCCTCACCAATGTTCATCCAAATGTCAAGCACAGAAAGTTCTTTTTAACTTTAGTAGAAGCCCTAATTATGTAAAGAAATGCCATGAACAATTGGTCTGCCAACCAAGAGTTATGAATGTTATTTTCCTATAATTCTTACAGCACATAATTTATTTTTTAGAAAAATTTTAATTGAATCAGGTGTATCCAGGCAGATAATAGATACAATTTTAATTTTGTCATTGGTTCAAAGACTGATTCAGATAGAAAGAGCATTTGTATTCCAGAAATAGAGGCAGTCTCATGAAAACTGATAATTTTTAATAAAATCATTTTTTGACACGTGAATTGCAATTCCCACTTTGTAGTTCCTACACAAGAAAAGTGACTTTACCCAGGTTATAATACCTCTCAGTTGTGCATTATGTGCGTAGTAAGATTTATTAAAACAAACACAGTATTTGTCTTTTTCTTGCTAACACATATATATGGAATTTAAGAAAAAAAAAATGTCATGAAGAACCTAGGGGTAAGACAGGAATAAAGACACAGACCTACTAGAGAACGGACTTGAGGATATGGGAAGGGTGAGCTGTGACAAAGCGAGAGAGTGGCATGGACATATATACACTACCAAACGTAAGGTAGATAGCTAGTGGGAAGCAGCCGCATAGCACAGGGAGATCAGCTCGGTGCTTTGTGACCACCTAGAGGGGTGGGATAGGGAGGGTGGGAGGGAGGGAGACACAAGAGGGAAGAGATATGGGAACAAATGTATATGTATAACTGATTCACTTTGTTATAAAGCAGAAACTAACACACCACTGTAAAGCAATTATACCCCAATAAAGATATTTAAAAAAAAAACAAAACAAATACAGATTAATGGGCTTTAGAATTGCTGCATTAACTTGATTATTAACTCCCAAGAGTTTTTCTGAGAGCTTGCCATTAAAACAAATAGGCCAATCTTGATTTACAAAGCAGTTTGGGATTTTAAAAATCATAAGGCCCATGATTTGATGGAAGTTGTTTATTTTCCTCTTTAAACAATTGCAATTTGTATTTTCAAGAAGATCCTCTGATTAGAACCTAAGAAAGCTACTTATTTCCTAAGGTTGAGACTCTTAAGAGCTCTTTTACAAGAAATTGCACACACATTAGCCTCCAAATTACAGACATGGCATATCGCAAGAAATCAGCATTTTCACTGTAAAATGCAAACAATATATTAATACGTTAAGTGTGCTCTTGCCAGTTTCCATACTCTATTTTCTTTCTGGTTCTTAGAATTATTAAAGACCTTATAGATGGTTTTCTCACATTTCAGCATTTTTTCCCATTTATATGATTGCATTTGGTACAAATGCAAAGCTAAATTGAGACAAAGACAAACTAAAAGTAAATAATATTAACATATGAAATCTCAGTCTTGGGCAATTATTCATTTTCT